CAGTCGGGTTTGGGTAAAGAGGTTCGAAGTGGTGTCAGTGAAAGCCGTGGCAGGGCTGATTCCCCTTTTCCTTGCCCTTTGGGTTTAGATATGACTGATACTGCCACTTAGAAGGGTTACCGTGAGTCACTGCAATAACCGGCTGTACGTGCGCTTCCAGCCTGCCGCAGGCTCAAAATTAAGCCTTAAGCTTCATAAAGGTGTTCAAACGCCACTTGTTCCACTCCTGTGTCTCTTTGGTTTAACCTGAGGTTTGTTTTCCCGAAAGCACATGCCCTTGTTTTTGTCAAGCACACAGATGTGCTGGGCGAGAAGCCAGCTGAGGGCAGCCTGGCCTGAAGGCACTGCCTCGGGTGTTACCCCAGCTCAGCCGGGCACAGGAGCCTGCTGTGCCATAGCAATGAAAAACCTGCGCTTGAACAGGCAGGAATAACTTTATTTCAAGCAGCAAAAGCTGCCCTTATGACCTAGAAGCCAGGAGGAAGGAGGATGTGTAAATAAAGAGTGTCTTGAGCTGCATGACCTTGTGATGTTCAGTGTTCCTTGCCAGGAATCACCTCTGTTCTTCAGTAGTAAGTACTGAAGGTAGGCTTTCCCAGAAGATGTTTTATCTCAGATGTCTTGCTCCTTAATTTTGTAGGTGGTCTGTGAGGACGAAGCTGAACTGAAGTGCCACCAACAGCCCTTACCAGGATAATACTTCAGCTTTCTGGTGTTACGGACCTAGGAAATAATCCCGCAGGTATGTTGTAAATATCAAGAGCAACCAATAAGTCAAGTCATGTTTTACAGGCAGAGCGCTGTTCTGCAGTTGTAAATTGGCATTGCTATGGCACTAACAGGCAAGAATTTTGCTTCTTGCTTAAGCCATAATTTCTTGAGATTCATTTTTGTCATGGAGCTAATCATACTCTGGGAAGCAGTGCAGGAAGCATGAGCCCAGCGTATGATTATGTGTTTCAGGGACAGTAACAGCAGAGGGAGCATGATTTCCCAGTTAGCATAAGAAGTTTCTTAGTCTAGGTTTAAGTCAGGAATCCAATCTGTTTATAATTTCCATGCTGTGCGTATTGGCAAACTTCCAGAGCAGCAAGCTGTAAACATAGATGCTTTTCCTATGACTAGTTCTGATTTTTGTGTATGGTTTTCTGTATGTCTGAGAAATGAGAATGTGAAATGTGGTAGGAAGCATGTTCCAGAGTGATCTTGGAGTAGAGTCAATCCCTGCACCTCTGAGATAATGTCTGATTTTAATTAAATTGCCAATATTAAGTGAAAGGAACAGTTCACTGACATATAAAAAACCTTCCCAAACAGGAAGATTTTTGTGCTATGTGAGCACATGGAAGGTTATGTGAAGTATTATGGTATACTAAAATTCTGGGCTTTGCAGAGTAAAATGCAGTCTAAACTTAAATGGTGAAAAAAATAAGCTTTAGTGGAAAAAGAGCATGCAGTCTTGCTGTTTTCACTAGCAGCGTGGGGTTTGGCTCTAGGCTGCTTCATATGGGATGAGCTTGCAGATGCTGCAGGGTAAGATGCAGGCAGCTCTGCTGTGCTTTCGACTAGCACAGATTTTCTGGCCTGCTGGAGCGTGGAAGAAACGTTCTTTGGTATGGTTTAAAGAAACCTATTGGGAGCTAATTAAGATGATTACAGCTTCTAAGGTTGTTCTTACAGTGAAGGGTAACACGAGCCATTCTATGCTAGAACTACATGCAGCTTTGTGTGAATGGACTGTATCCATGTTAATGTGTGCAAATGAACAACTTGTCCTCCTTTTCTTTTGGGTTGCCTTGCAAAACACCAGGCAATTATGTATTGTTTGCTAGGCTATTATAATTGTTTTCAGATGCACATGAAACCCTCTGGCGGGGAAGGTAGTGATGCTGACATCAGCTGCTTTGAGCAGCAAATCTGACATGTAGTGGAGGGAGGAGTTGGGAAGCAGTTATTTAGTGATGGAGAGAAGGGAATTCACTTGCAAGGAGGCAGCTGATATTGAAAGGGAGCAATGCTTTGTGTGTCCCTGGGTATGGCTGAGAGCTGGCTCGTTGTAGCAAGGTAACTCACTGCGTGCTGCACTGGCAGCATCGGGAATCATGACATGGGATTCAAGATGCGACAGCACGGTTTGGGTGGGACACTGGCAGGCACTGAAATCCAAAGCTCTTTGGATCAGAGGCGTGGCTGAACATCAGAGCATCTGAGTTCATGTGGATGATGAATTTTGGCCCTGAATTGTTTGGAAGTCTTCAGCCAGTGGTGAAGACGTGCTTGCTTAGGGTAAAATTAATGTTTCCTTAGGATTTGATAATTTAAGTAGTTTCATAGCTGCCATCATGTGCCAGGCATCTCCTGGCTAATGTGTCAGGTAAGACTTGAAATACTGCTACAAGCTGGATGTTTTTTATGGCTGCTTTTCTTATAGAGGTATTGAGAGAAGCGCTTCCTTGGCAACATCCTGAAAATCTGTTTACAATTAAGCCCATTTTTTGGCTCTAAAGTATGTAAAAAATCTTGCACTTTGTTGTATTATTGTATATTTTCCACCTAAATATAGTCTTATCTACAGCATTCAATACCGATAGCAAGTTGTTGCCTACTTGTGAAGCTCTGGGGAAGGGGATCAAGCCTGCTGCACAGCCAGCTCACTGCTTCCTCCTGTGTCTGCAAGCAATAAGACAGTGCGTCAAAGTGCTGGCATTTGGAGAAGCCCCAAACAGACTTGCCCCATCCAAAAGTCCAGCTTCAAATTGCTGTTTGAGGATGGACTGTTCTTCAGAGCTGGGCATGTGGGCCTCAACTGTATCTGCACCAAGAATCCATCTGTGGCCTGAGGTGACTCTGAAGTAGTCATTTGGCTGTTAGATTTCACCAAGATACTTCAAATTTAGGACGTGTGTAGGCTACAATTCTAATAGTGATTTTCCAGGTGTCTTTAATAGCAAAGGCAAGCACAGGAGACAGCTGTAACCCTTATTTGCAGCATCAGCTTGTAAGTTGTTGCATTGTGATAGTTCAGACTCTTTTGGGGGGTGTGTGTTAATGTTTTTAGGGCCTCCAGCTTCAGCATGGAGCCTCCTGTCTAAAGGAGCACTTTGTGAGGATTATGCTCTTGTCCTGTAGCATACAAAAGAGTCTGCAGCCTATCAGTTCAATCAAGTGGGAGTCCTAAAGGGACTGGATGAGTAATGGGTATTTGTTTCCTCTTCTGACCTGAAAAAAGTCCTTCCTTTGGCTGGAGTGGGAGCTGGCTTCAATCCCCTGTGATGAGATTTGAAATTCAGAGTGGGTGAGAAACTGATAACCCTGGTAGATGTGCAGGCAACTCTTTTTTTTAACTTCAGGTCCATGTCTTTGTATCTTCTTGATTCAGAATTTTTAGAAAGTTTAATAAATAATTTGGTCTAAATTATGGAGAAAAATTCCAGCCTGGTTTATTTTGTCTAGAAGAACCTTTTTCCCTTCTGCCAGTGCTCTCTGGAGCCTG